CCAGCTGTTGCACTATCACCCAGCCCAGTGGCTCCCGGCAGGTTCTGAAGGGCAGCAACAAGGCTACTTCCAGTACTGAAGACCAGCACGCAGAAGTCACCTGGTACGAAGACCCTCTGCCTGGAAGGTCCTTGGTACCTGAGACACATGCTTTCTTCAGTTTGTTGTTGTTGTTGCTGTTTTTATTTTTAGAGAGAGGCAGAAAGTGAGAAATCAGCCCCCAGGGGGGATGTCCATGACACAATCCCTTCTCCTCCAATCTCCTCTCGGGATTTTGGGCACAACCACACGTGTACCCAGCATGAGGTTTAAGCCTCTAAGTCTGAGACTCGAACGATGGTTGACTACGTGGGAGTCCAACGACATAACCCTTATGCCATCTGCTGGTCCCAAGTAGTGGTGGTACATGCTTTCAACATTTTTAATTTATTACTTTGATCTTTTTCCTTTTAGCTGAGGCATAATTTGTCCAGGCAAAATGCACAGATTCAAAGTGCGTAGCTTGATTTTGACTATTTTTTGAGAGACAGGGTCTAATACCCAGGCTGGGCTTGAATTTTCCATCCTCCAGCCTCAGCCTCCCAAGTAGCTAGGACCATGGGGACACCAATACACCCGGCAGGCACAGAGTTCTCACAGGGTAATTACCTGTATCCCCGGGTAATTACCACCTAGATCCAGGGGGAGGAGGTCTCCCCCACTCTGAAAGAGGTGACCCCGCTGGCCCCATCACTGATGGCCGCACATATGAGGCTGCCATGCAGGATGGGGTCTCCTGTACCTTCCCTGCAACACCACAGCTCTGTCAAGGGGAGCACCTAGTGTAGGCGGGTCACATTTCTGGGCAACAAATGAAGATCAGGCAATGTCCACACACGAGAGGAGGCCGAGCTTCCAAGAGAGGGTCTGCACAGTCCACGTCAGTGGTAGCAAGGCAAGCCTCGAACCCAGGACTCTGGTCTCCCAGGCAGAGCCCTGGCCTCTTCTGAATGCACCGCAGGAAGCCGCAGGGCGAAGGCCAGGGTCAGTCGGGCTCTTTAAATCTGTGAGCAGCAGCAGGCGGTGGGGAGGAGGGAGGAAGGCCAGAGGAGGGAAGAGTAGTGCTCCCCACCCCCAGCTCCTGGCCCACTTAGCAGCCCCCAGTCCCACAGCTCAGACCCACTGGTCCCAAGTCCCAGTTCACCTCCCACAGGAAAGAGCAGAGCTCGCGCCTGGACTGTGGGCCCGGGGCAAGGCACAGAGCCCTGAGCAGAGGGAGCAGCTTCAAAGGCAACCCGGGGCCAGAGAGGGGCCCCATCCTGTCCCAAGGGCCCGAGGTCTGTCCAGGAGGACTGCTACTGGGCATGGCGGACGGGGAGGGCCAGGGCCAGGGGCGGAGCTGAGGGGAGCATGGAGAGGAAAACCAGCAAGGTCCTGGCACCCTTATGACATGCACAGGTACAGCCCAGCCGCCAGGCAGACCCTGTCTCCGTGTGTCTCTGTGTCTCCCTCACACAGGGCACAGGGCACGCGTTGCCACATCCCTCCCCTGCCCCTTGCAGTCTTGAGCTCCCCTTAGCAGCCAGCGTCCTCGTGGGTTGAGGGGGGGTGAGAAGACTGAAAAACCCCTTCCCCTACACCTCCCTACACCACCACGGCCCACTGGGGCCTCCCACCTGCACCTGCATTCGCTCTGCTTTGTTCGCTAATTGTCTCCTGGCCACCTACTAGTCTCCCTGGCTACAAGGAAGCTTCCAGAGAAATCACCTTTCTTCTCTGGACCCTTCCCCTCTCCACCCATCAGACATCCCAGGGTGAAACACAGGGCCCTCAGGTGCTGCTTGTCCACCACCCAACTCTCAATACTCCCCCGATTGCTCACTTAGTGCAGTCCTGAGCCCCACGGAGAGCGGCACACGGCACGGTGCTAAACACGCAACTCGCGTCTCATTTACCCTCATAGGTCCTTACGGGACCAACGGCCATACCAGCAGACAAGGAAACTGAGACGCAAAAGGCTAAGGTCACATTGCAAGAACACAGGAGAAGGGCTGGCAGGTGGCATGGTGGTTGGGGCACTGGACTCCCACATGGCTAACTGTGGTTTGAGTCCTAGACCGGGCAGCTTACTTTCTCTTTCTCTCTCTCTCTGTCTCTGTCTCTCTCTGATGAGTATGCATGCCCTGTAGCAAATTAAGACATAATAATAATAAATAAATAAAATTAAATAACTACTTAAAAAGAAAAAAAGAACACAGTGGAGTAGGGATGCAAGTTCAGGTCACTCTCAGGTGTGTGACCACCGCCAGCTCCACACAGACGAAGAGGTGGGGGTCCAGGCAAGATGCCTCTATGAGTCATTGTCCTGCACTCCCACCCAGCCCTTCCCCCAACACCATATCACCCTCAGAGCACCCAGCAACAGAGGGTTCTCAGAACTCCACACACACCCCATGTCCTTCCTAGATGCAGGCCAGACCCTCACCCTAACTAGCCCAGACAATCCATGCCCAGGGGCCTCTGGGAATGATATATCTGGACCCCACTGAGGCAGGCAGTGTGGGCACAGGAGGGCCGGGGTCAGACAGAAATGCTAGTAATACAAGAAGCAGAGAGCTGGCCCTGGATGGTA